GGTAGGGTATTTTTAACTTGAAAAGGCTTTGGCTTGTCCTTTTGTGCTCCAAAGGGAACCCATAAAACAAAAACAGGAAATAACAAGTTATTTAATGCATTTGTGGTTGTTACAGCAGCGTACTACTCAAGAAGTTATTCAAACTTACCATAAATCTTCTAGTGTGGATACAGGACATTTTGGTTAGACTGGATTGCCAACTTGAATAGGTCTCACTGGTTTGGCAGCTTAAGTAAGGTTTAGTGGTTTTGTAATGCTAGAAGGCATCCATGGGTGCTTGGTATGACTTAACCAAAACCTGTCCATAGTTACATCTCCAAAGCAATGATGAAATAGATAGAGCTGCAGTGTCCAGTGGGAATTCAGGGTCAGCCTATTAAGGAAAGCCAATTAAGAAAAATAGAAACAGACTCATTAATATCCACAGAGCGGTGAGTAATTGATGTTTGTGTGTTAACAGTGCCGGAGCAGGGCGCACAGGGACATTCTGTGCTCTGAGCACGGTCCTGGAGCGGGTGAAGGCGGAGGGCATTCTGGACGTTTTTCAGACTGTGAAGAGTCTAAGACTACAGAGACCACACATGGTGCAGACACTGGTGAGAAAACACGTCACTCACGATGCAGTGTTGATCTACTAAACTGAAAAAAGCGCAGTTTAATTGTTTTTGAACAATTGTTGTTTTTTGCCAGAGGCATAAAACATGCTGTACTAAGGGAAAAATTGTGATTAAAAAATTGCATTTGTTATTGAAAAAAAAAAAAAGGTTTCAAGTTTGCTGTGCTTGTTTGTAGGGCTACACAAATTGATTGTTGTTATATATCAGTATGACTATAATACTAATACTACTACTACTAATAATAATAATAAATCATTACCGTTTTGATTATTACTACTACTAATTAAACAAAATAAGAAATATTACTAATTGTAATTTATTATTCCAATTGTATTCGCTGTAACATAATAACAATCAAATATTTAAGATAATAATAATAATTATTTTATTTTATAGTACAATTGTAAAATTACAATACTAATATTTATGTCTCTTCGTTTACACATTTTAATTTTGGCAGAAACCACATGAAACCCTTAAAGCTTCACTTTTCTTGACAAAAAGTGGTTTATAAACACCGATCATTACAATTTTGGGAAGATGATTGACACATGTTGCGTTCTGAAATGCACAAAATATTCAATTCAGATTCAGAGCTCATCCAGAGATGAGTTCATCTAAAGCGTCATTTACCGCATGTCGCTTTAAGACACTGAAAACACTGGATTATGAGCTGCTCACGTGTAAATGAAGACAGTGCCGTGCTTCACTCTGAAACACAGAGCGCATATGTTTAATTCAGTCATAGCCTTTGTGATTTGATAATCGTGTGAAGCCTTTGTGATTTAATAATCGTGTGAAGCCTTATAGCGATTTCACTTAATCGTGTTGTCCTAGTAAAACATCATTAGAACAGGAAGAATAGGGGGTCGGGGTGATATGTTATTTTCTTGATAGATTTTATGTTTGTACCTCTATTTTTTGGAAAATAATCATCGAAACAAAAGTTTCATCACATAATTAATATTCACAAGCCAAGCTGATAATGTTTTTAGATGGTTCCTACACCCCTGTTTTTATCTTGTTTTGTTTCTAGTACTTTAATACAAACACCTCAAGTCTGTCTCAACTCATTACATCCTGCTTTTCCCCACAGGAGCAGTATGAGTTCTGCTACAAAGTGGTCCAGGAATACATTGATGCCTTCTCTGACTACGCCAACTTCAAGTAAAGCCACACCCTCCTGCATAAGATCGGACAGACATTCCCAGTCATGCAGTCACGTCCACACTTTCACAAAAACACAGCTAAACGAGACGGACTGCCAGCGCAAAGCAAAAGGGAATGAAAATCCTTTGGCCGGCAAGCACGAAAACACATTGGTGCTGAAGATGGAAAGAAAACAAACAAAGAAAACACCATTAGAGATGCCTTCTTGAATATTTTGTAATATTGCTCTTGTTAATAAGGCCCTTACCCATTTCTCTCAGTGTAAATATGCTCTTGTATTTCATTTGTTTGGTTTTAGAAGCCATTCTGTTGCGGTTTTTAGAGTGACCTTAATATAGTTTACTGGTATATAAATGCATACATGAATGGCGCTATAGAGACAGAGCGGTAGCAAGATGAGGGTGCTTTTCACTGGGTGTTTTAACAAGAACTTCCTTCTTTCTCTGCAGTTGAGTGACTGAAACCTATTTAAATGGCAGCTCAATCCCACTATGCTGTTGCCTGTAGCTACATAACGCACAACGCGGCAAAATCAACCAACCGTGGTGCATCAGCGACTGTAAACGCGTGCGTTCGCAGAAAACACTTCACTGTGCTTTTTGATTGTGTTTACTGGAGTGACAGATATAATTTCAGAGTCCATTTTTTTAAACAGGGACCGTTTTTTGGGCCGTGACTAAGGCGTGCGTCCCTTAGATCTGAAGATGTTAAGTGTGTCTTTGTGGTGTCCGTTTTGTTATAGTGTGCCGACTTGGTCCAAACTAGACGATGGTAGAGGAAGATAAGACTGAAAAAGACAAACAAGAGGAAACCCTGAGTGTGTCAAGACCAGAGAAATTCCACTTAATTTTTCTTTTGTGTTGTTTTGTCCCCTTGAATCTCACAAGGGTTTGCTTCAAGTTTCATTCCCTGCCCAAACATCTTTTCTTTTCAAGAACGCTCTAAAAGCACCTTCTGTATTTGTGATTATAATCAAGGAAGTGATGCATTTACTTGCCCGGATGTCTGATAATTGGCCTTAACAACTGTGCTTGACAATATGGTTTCATAATGTACTTTCCTTCATTTGAAGATAAATGATCCCACCGGTTTCTCTACTTGCAAGGTACTGGTGCAAAGTCGATCTAGAAAGTTCCAATAGAAATGACGCCTGATCATCTGTTCCTGCCCGTGTAAAGGACTTCAGCCGTGGTGCCGAAGTCAACGAGCCCTTTCCAGCTCCACTGAGCCAGTTAGATTGATATATGACGCTTCAGCCCTTAGCCGCGAACACTTTCAACTTCTCCAAGCATAAAGACCAGGTAGATGGTAAAAATGAGGACATGTATTGTCATTTTAACTAGTGATTATCAGCAAGTTATTTTCCAGCGAATGTTTTATGTAGGTTAAGCCCTCATTCCACACTGCCTTGTGTTAGGAAATGCAAGTTTTATGAAATGTATGTAAACCCAATAGTTGTCGTTCAAAATCACTCACCCATCTGTCATTCCATGGTAACAGGGTTCTTGATGGAAACTGTTATTATTTCAGATCCATGATATTCCGAATGATGAATTGCGGATATCTATTACAGCCCCTCTTAAGATATTCCATGAAATGCTGACAGATTTGCTTGAGTATTGTGTGAGTCGACTGTTGTGATTTGCTTAAAGTCACACTAACCCTTTCCACATGAGACACTGTGCCAATAGCAGCCTCTCAGGGGCAGGATCCTTCTTCAGAGGTGGGAAAGTGCCTCATCACGTTCCTGTAGCTTCAAGCATATTCCCGCCTGCTCTTTTGTAGCCCATGTTCTCCCAATCCATTGGGACCTTGTGGCCTGTACACGGCGTATGATAATCTGTAATGGAACCCAAACGGTTGCTTTTCTGTGTTTTTGTTGTGTTTTCAAACTATTTTTTCCTTCTTTGCTTACATACCATATAAAACCATCCTGGAGAAAGCACCAGACTTCAGGACAATTCCCTCAAAACCCAAGCTCTTAATGTACGCAGAGCAATCTAGTTCTTCTGGTCATGAAGGGAAGCCACGTATCTGGGGGCTCACTTCATTCTTCTGTTGAATTTGATATTGAAACGGCCTGCTTGGACAAAGACTGAAAAGTAAAGGATTCTGCTCTCCAAAAAAAACATGAAAATTGAGGATTTCATCGGAAACCCATCTTTAATTGGATTGTTTCTAAATTTCAAACTACAGCCTGTTTTATGTTCCAGAAATCCTAAAAATGTTACCCTTTCTGGTTTTTCTTTTCTGTTTATGCACCCTTCTTGTACATAATGTAAGGTTATTTATATTTCATTCCTATCTGTTGCCTTGCTTTTATTTTATTTTTATCTTTCTCTCACTTTTTTTTTTTTAAAGATACTTGTATATTAATCTGTACTGTGGGACCATTTTGAAATGTATTAGATTTTTTTTTTCCTGTTTTTAATTCGGTATTATTGTCTTAAAATCGTATCTTTTAATTTACATCTGTTTTTTTTCTTGTTTTGTTATTCAAATTTGAATATATATGTATATATAATTATATATATATATGATACAAATTATATATAATTATATAATGCCAAACGACCTTTCTAAACAAGATACTGTTCAAACCTAATAAAAGTGCTTGAGATTTTATCTGCAGTCATTTTACTTTGTGCATCTCTGAAACATTAGAAATATAATTTTCATGTCTGAATATGTATACTATCATTCAAAAGATATTTTTTGTAGTAAAACATATATATATACAGTACAAATTCATCAAACAGTCCTGAAACAAAATGTATCACAGTTTCCATAAAAATATTAAGCGGGGCAACCTTTTTCAACGTTAATAATAAAAAAAAAAGTTTTTGAGCACCAAATCGGCATATTAGAATGATTTCTGAAGAATCATGTGACACTGAAGGCTAGAGTAATGATGCTGGAAATTCATCTTCCATCACGGGAATAAATTACATTTTAAAATATATTAAAATAGAAAACAGTTATTTTAAATACTGTTTTGACTTATTTTAAAGAAATGCCACTTCGTTGAGATTCCGGAAGAGTGGCACGTCACCTCGTGTCACCTTGTCTCCCCATCCTTCCTGACCCGTCAGACCTGGTGTCAGACCTGAGATGTGGATGGATTATCACCACAGACCCATGTACGTGTTTAAACACCATTTGACAGGAACTCAATCAGAACTTGAAACTCTGCGATGAGTCAGTCGTAGTTCGTCTGTCACATTCTCTGCTCCGATCACCACGAGGGAGACCTTCTGTGTAATTAAGAACACAGTCAGGCTGGAGTGTTTGCACAGTGTTTTTCTTTCTGGGCCAGTTTCGTGTGGGTCAGGGGGTCACGAATGACGGATGTGAGGTCACGCTGGCCACTTTTTACAGCTTAGAGGAAATGATCTGGACATTTGCTTTTTTAATAAAACATGCTCATCAAGAATGTGCGCTATTGGGGTCACTGGAGTTGCCATGGTTGAAAAAATATGAAAAATGACAGAATATTCTATACATGCACAATAAATATCAACAGTTTAGATGGCTAGTGGCACAATAAATGTAGATTTATTATAGATCTATATAAATAAAAATTTACAACTTCTTAAATGCCTACACTGCTGTTCATTAATATTTCAAATAAATGCTGCTCTTTTGAACCTTCTATTCATAAAAAAAAAAAATAATAATAAATCTTGAGCAGGAATTCAGTATACAGTAATGATTTCTGAAGGATCATGTGACACCAAAGACTGGAGTAAGGGCTGTTGAAAATTCAGATTTGCTATCACAAATTGATGTAAAGTACATTTTAAAATATATTAAAATAGAAAACAGTTATTTTGAATTGTAACAATATTTCACAATATTACAGTTTTTAATGTATTTTTGATGAACTAAATGCAGCCTTGATGAGAATAAGAGACTTAAAACATTAAAAAATGTCTAACCAAAAACTTTTCAACAGTAGAATTATAGTGTATATTCCCATTTCTTTTGTTGTCTTTAAAAAGTTTACTCTTGAAAAATTAAATTAAATTAAATTAATAATTTAAAAATATAAACAGACATTTATTATTTTTGTTTTAATCAGTTCCTTTTAAATGAAATTGCTTCCTATATATATTATATATATATAATTTGATAGATAGATAGATAGATAGATAGATAGATAGATAGATAGAAAGAAATTTTATTCAGTGCTTATTTTCTTCTTTTCCTTAATTAGCACTTTGGCACATGCTTGGCCATTGTTTTGAAGCTAAAAATCTGAATAGCATCAGAATTATGCACATGTGACGTAGTTGCCAAATGTGTCTGGGTGTAACTCATGATGTGTACATTTACATGAGTGTTTTGTTGGAGAAAGAGGACACTGTCCTGTGGGGGTCAACAGTGTTTGGAGATGATAATTGGAATTGAGCTCATCTTACACATGCTCTCCTCCCATTGGAAACGCAATGACCACGCAAAGTGTTTGAGAACAGAGGAGGTCAGAGTGTGTGTGTGTGTGTGTGTGTGTGTGTGTGTGTGTGTGCTTAGACAGGGAGGTGAGATCTGGTGTGAGACATAAATTGTGAGGATGAGGAGGAGGAAGATTCCAGAGAATGAGTGGCAGACGTATCTCAGAAGCTCACTGAACCGTTTACTTGAGGGAAAGGAGACCATATCAGGATTACCAAGACCAGGACTTCACAGTAGAGGAACTACTACAGAAGATCCTTCAAGAGAAGACGTGCCAAAAGATACAAGGTAATCACAATTCTTTGGTTTGTTTAGTCTTGATTTTAGGCGGTAAAACTGATTTTGTTGTTATTGATGTATTGACAGTAATTCGGTCTCCATTGTGCTTTATTGTCTCTTAAACATCATTGTCATGATGCTTTTCAGTCAAACATTTGTCCTGAAATTGTTAGGCTGGTAAACGTAGACCTGACTAACTTTTAAACATGTCTATAGCTTTTGGCCCCTCTTACTCTCTATTCATCTCATCCGTCTCTGTTCTCTTCCCTCAGTTATGGTGCACATCTGCAGGCTGTTTGTGGTGATGGGGATGTTGTTGTGTCTAAGTGCCCAGTTTGCCAGCTCTCAGCACTGGTCTCATGGCTGGTATCCCGGAGGAAAGAGAGACATAGACGTTTACGATACCTCAGAGGTGTGTGAATGAATATTACCAAAGAAATGTAAGTCTATCAGAAAAAACAATACTGCCAGAGAAGGACTATCTTTTTGCAATGTGGCACAAAATGTAAAAATGTTAACTGTAACCATGTGGTTGGTAAGTTGGTTTGGTTATTCGATTTTTGGAAATTTTATTAGATTTAAAATGAAAATACATGTAATTTACTTTCAAATTAAGAATAATTTCTTTATATGATCAATGTATTTTTCAAAACAACAGCATTTATTTAAAATAGAAATTGTAACATTATAAATGTCTTTACTGTCATTTAGGTTATGCTGTTTAAATAACGTGTATTGTATTATTATTGTATTATTGTCATGTGTCTTACATTAACCAGGTTCTGTACTGTTTTTACATGCTTATAAGCCTTTGTTAGTGGAAAGGTTTATTTTGATGTGCTTTAAGCCATCGTGTTGCTTTCTATTTGACTTTAAAACCAGGTTTCAGAGGAAATTAAACTCTGTGAGGCAGGAAAATGCAGCTACCTGAGACCCCAGGGAAGAAACATTCTGAAGACAATACTGGTGAGTACAGGTGTTGTTTTGGCTTGATTTTTTTCCATCAGCAAATAGCCTAGTGATTACATAAGCTAGTCATGACAGGATATTGTGAATATTTCTCTAAAACTTTACTAACTTATTGGCTTTTACAGCTGGATGCCCTCATACGGGATTTCCAAAAGAGAAAGTGACACCAAGATGACGCAACAGTCTGTGTCCAAAGAAAAATCCTTTCCAGCAAACACATTAGGCCTGCATGTCCATCCAGATTATATATATAATTATTTTGTTATTCTGTGATTTTTTTTGTATGTTTTGCATTTCGTTCTGTTCTCATATCCATTGTGAGTGAACCTATACTGCCAGCACTATGTAACCATTTGCAGCAGTTCCTACAATAAAGGCTTTATTTTGGTATTTTGTTTTAATTGTTCAGTGTCTTTTTATTAGTTATAGGTACGTTCACCAATTTTGCACAGGACACGAGCGAAATTGTTTTAAAACTACAATGTTTACACACACAAAAATAACAGGCGTCAACTGCATGAATAAAAACAGACGTAGCCTATTTATTTATTTAGGGAAATAACATTTTAAAATATTTTAGTATATTAAAGACACACACACACACACACACACACACACACACACATATATAATTACATTTTTGCTAATTAAAATAAATTTTGTTTTCATTTAATTTATATTCATTTTAAACTATTTTTGTTTAGCCACCCGATGGCGCAAATGTACATATCAAAATTCATTCGGCCCAGGAATGAACAAGTTAATATTGACAGTCCTGTAAAAGCCAAACTTAATGCAGTGCAAGACCTGTACGTTTTTAAGGCTGAAGTAAATATGGTTATTATGTAATCAAGCATGTGCTGTGAAATTAATATGATTATGAACATAATGATCCCACTTAAATATCATCTTGCCATCGCCAGTAAAAAGAATAGAAATGATCAGTGTAGACAATATAACCCATTAATTCTCAGCTGACCCTGGTACTGAGGCTGTTGATATTACAGGAGATAGTGAGGGACGTAGTGTAGAGGCTAGCAGGAAAAAACATCCACTGATCCAGACAAGTTCCCTTAGAAGGAGACGGCTGAGACCTCAGTCCATTCCCTGGGTTATTCTGAGCATGAAAGCACACTGAAACCGTTATGCCACTATCATGTCCTCTCTCTCTCTCTCTCTCTCTCTCTCTCTCTCTCTCTCTCTCTCTCTCTCTCTCTCTCTCTCTCTCTCTCTCTCTCTCTCTCTCTCTCTCTCTCTCTCTCTCTCTCTCTCTCTCTCTCTCTCTCTCTCTCTCTCTCTCTCTCTCTCTCTCTCTCTCTCTCTCTCTCTCTCTTAAGCACACACACACACACACACACACACACACACACACACACACACACATTCTCATTTATTAGGAAATGTATGTGTAAAATGGACAGAAATACATTTAAATACTTAAAACCCGATAAATGTTAATTGCTTCTAAAAATAACTGAAAGTGTGTTTTCTTGCACAATAAAAATTCAATAAGACATATTCACTGCAGTGCTACACATGGAGAACAATAATTCCATCAATGCTACATGCTTATTATCATACTCCGTATTATAGACCCAATGCCATACAGCATATCCCACCTTTCAAAGTCTATA